AAATTACTACTTGAATCAAATCTATTTGATGAACAAAACACAGCTATGGAAAGAAGCTGCTCATATGGACATCATAAATGTTTTATAAAATAAAGGAAGCATTCTCTACAAATTGTACACAAAATGCCCAAAAAATAATTTTCACTCTGCAAAAATCAGAACGGTACACAACCCACAAGAAATAATATATGTATATATAAGGTAATAATGTCGAATGCAGGTTTACCTGCTACGCTATGAGCTGTCAAAGCATTGGATCTGCAAAGCTTGACTCTCCTTGTAGCTCCAGATCCTCCAGTGAACGATGAAAATACTCAGCTTAATCACTCAACCAAACACAACAGCTATGCATACATATACACACGTACAAAGAGAGAGAGAGAGAGAGAGAGAGAGAGAGAGAGAGATGGGCTTCAAGCACTCATTAACCAGTCCCAACAACCAAAAACAAGGTTTATAATGTAAAAACCAAATAGAAATTAACTTTATTGTTATATAATAAATGGAAGAAATGCATTACTTCAACTAATGATGAAATGGTTGAAAAGTACATCAGTCTTCCATGTCCTTAAAAAAAAAAAAAAAAGAAAGACAAAAAAAATAGTTATCAAAAAATTCCCTCCAAAGCCAAAGAAGAATTAGCTGTAGACTAGAAAAGATAGAGAACTTGATGAGAACACATACGACCAACAGTGTACATTTTCTCTGCAATACTTTTCCACTCAAGTATATATCATTACAATTCCAGGAAGCAAAATGCCTTCAATTTGTTTCCACACCATGTGCAAACAAAGCTGATATACCAATGACCAAACTACCTGAAAAGGGAAGAGGGAAAAAATGGAATAAAAAATCAATAAATTTTCTTCAAATCAGCAGTAAAAAATAAGTAAAAAAAAAAAAAAAAGAAAGACAAAAAAAATAGTTATCAAAAAATTCCCTCCAAAGCCAAAGAAGAATTAGCTGTAGACTAGAAAAGATAGAAAACTTGATGAGAACACATACGACCAACAGTATACATTTTCTCTGCAATACTTTTCCACTCAAGTATATATCATTACAATTCCGGGAAGCAAAATGCCTTCAATTTGTTTCCACACCATGTGCAAACAAAGCTGATACACCAATGACCAAACTACCTGAAAAGGGAAGAGGGAAAAAATGGAATAAAAAATCAATAAATTTTCTTCAAATCAGCAGTAAAAAATAAGTAAATCCATCAATTTTTTCTTCTCCTTGGTATTGTGCCTTAACAATTGCCAAAATAACACAACCCCGTGATCACTCATCATAAATCAACTAATATACTTGCACCAATTGGCAGTGTTTTTTCTATCCAGTCATGAAACTATTAAAATTGTGCATACTTTGTTTTGTTTAAGATGCCGTTAGAGGAACACAAGACACTCCAACTACATTCAAGTCACATCTCTACACAAGTGCATGTGGTTGTGTGTGTGAGAGAGAGAAGAGGACAGAGTATTGAAGGACCAACACTCAACAATGCATCCTGCTTATTGATGGAGAAAAAAAGGGACAAATAATCTATTAAGAGATCATAAAATTTATTAAAACGACTATAAAAAAACTAACTACAACACATGGCATGTAGCTCTCACTTTTTGAACAAAGAGCCCCACACTATGACTTCAATGTCTAAGTTGAACAAAAGTTTTGCAACCACCAAGGACAAGGAGTTCCTCATCCAGTGAAGCTTTTAGAAAGCACAGCCAGATTCACAATAATTCACTCAGCAGTGCCCTGAGAAGAACGAACCTACACTAATCTTTACCACCAATCTCAAAAGGTCCTTAAAGTGGTCTCAATCATAGTTGCAAATCGAGAACTATATTGTGAATCAAAATCCTAATTTTGTGAATCATCAAGATTCGGCACAAACTGTAAAAAATGATGTTAAACAAATCGTATATCCAAATAAAATAAAATAATTGATTTTAGCACATGTTATACAATAGTTCTTGTATAATAAAATTATTACACCATCTAATTGGGAATATGTAACCTTCATAACAGGAGATATGGGTCCAGATCCACCAACCATAACATTTAGTCCTCTTTGAAACGTCAAACGATAAAATTCAACAATTCTCTAGACTCTCTTATAAGTGATCATGAATATTTTTAGGGCAAAATACATTGACATGACCTCCCTTGAGATTTGCAACCATTTCAAGTTACAACAACCTCCACCAATTTGAAGAAATTACACCAACCTCCCTTAAAAATTTTATTCACATTACAAATTCACCCATGCCGTTAAAGAGCTGTTTATGAAGTAGTGGTTTTTGCTGAAGTCACTGTATAAATTATATAAAATACATTACCCCTATTAAAAGATATTAATGTCAAAAGTAACGATATCTCTCACAAAACCTGCTTTTCTCTATCCATCTTCCCTTCCTGAAAACCAATTCAGTCCGATCTCTCTTATTCCGGTTACCATCCTCACAGCCTTCTAATCTTTCTCTTTCCCCTTTGCGAAGGAACTGAGTTCGGCATCAGTTGCCACTATCTTCGCACAATCTCTCTCTCCTTTGTCTTATGTCTCTCCAAAACCACCATTTTCCACACCAATCTCCAAGTCATAAAAGTATAATCCACCATTGGGACACCATTAACCCTTTCATCACTATGATTTACCAAATGAGTGAGGTTCCATTGCTTGACCAACACCCCGATATATTAAGTGAATAGGATTAGTGCTATAAGAACATTCTTTTCAACATGAAAGCCCACATTTTGTGTAAAAACAAAGTAATGTATGTCCCTTTGATTTAATTCACTTGTTTCGTCACTGGAATCTACGCCTCTAGTCATTCTTATGTATTGGACATAAAAGTACCTAATTGACTTATGGTGGACAAGTACTCAACGTAAAAAGTTAGACTGGTTAGACAGTAAATTTACATTTACTTTAAGCGGGTTGAAAACTAAGAGGAAGATAAATTAAAGATAGAAAGAAATTTTTTTTTTATTTGGATTGTTGTAGAACTACAACCCTTAGTGTGAAGGATTTCAAATAACCCTTTCTACATTGTTATTTCAAATCTATTATGAACAAACTCGCAAATTCAATCTTGAAATCCCACTATGACGCACAAAAAATAACCGACTTTCTAGCCACGATACCGAACAAGCAACCCCCCTGAAAAGTTCGCCTCTTTCGCTGCAACCAAATAAGCCACAATAAACAATGAGTAGCAAGCACCCACGCCTTCCGTCGCCGTTTCCCAACCCTCCCCCCACTCTAGCTCTGCAACAGCCCCACCAGCTGAACCTAAGCCAGGCCAAAAGTCGCCATAATGACCATCCAAAGCCTCGAAGCAACCGAACAATGGATGAGTAAATGATTCACCATCTCCGCATCCCTACAACATATGCAACACCTATTAACTAAAATGTACCGACGTCGAATCAAGTTATCGATAGTCAAAATTCGACCCAAAGCCGCCATCCACACAAAGAAAGGAACTTTGAAAGGACTCTCAGGCCCACAAGAGCTCGATAAAATGACGACACATTAAAAATCCCTTTCGTCTTTGGACAATCCTAGATGAAAGCATCCCCTCCCCCTAAAAATAAAAAATAAAAAAAACAAAAAAAAACTGAAGCCCATACAAAATCCCTAATAGATTCACCAATTGATTCAACTCCCAATCTTGAACATCACGGCGTAAATGAACATTCCAAACCACCATACTCCCTAGCCCACTCCCATAAGACGCCACTGTGGCTTCCGGATCCACCACAATATCAAAAATCAAGGGAAGCCTCTCTTCTAGTGGAACCTCACCACACCACCTATCCCTCTAAAATCAAACCGTACTCCGCCCACCAACCTTGAAACTAACTCGACTCCAGAACTCCGACTGCCCTAGCCAAGTACCCTTCCACAAGCTCCACCCATGAGACTGCCCCACTGCCTCCATACACCACTCCTCTCACCCCAAACCATACTTGATCACCACCATCTTCCTCCACAACCGATCCCTCTCCCCCACAAACCACCACAACCATTTCCCCAAAAGAGCCATATTGAATCCCCAAACCCCTCTCATCTTTTGGCAAACAAATTCGATCCCAAGCCACCAAATGATAGCGAAAACCCTCTCCCATTCCATCCCATAAAAAATCCCACTATAGTTTCTCTATTCGCCTTGCAATAACCACATGCACCGACATAAAATATGTTGGAATACTGGACAAAACACTCTTAATCAGAGTAACCCTCCAGCCTTTAGACAAATACTAACGCTTCAAAGATTTTGTTAAAGCAGTGAATAGATGGTATGGATTTTAAAAGCATCTCCACGGGGGAAGTGGAGCAGCTAGAGAGGCATTTTGTGGAAGACGAAGCCCTAAAGGATCTCAATGAGGATAAAGTCCCGTGGCTTGATGGTATGACTATGGGTTTTGTTTTTCAAAAATTGTTGGTACGGTGATGGGTATGGTGATGAGGGAGGAGGAGGTGATGGGTATGGTGAACTAATTTTACAAGCATGCCACATTGGAGAAGAATCTGAATAAATGTTTTAAAGCAACAATCCAATGATGGAAAAAGCTCTAATGGTGGTTTTTGATTTGTTAAATGCCAATGATATAGTATTTTTTGTGGGGCAAATACTATACAGTGTGTCCTTTTGTGTTTTGACTTTTGAGATAGTTTCAGGCTTGAATGTGAACTTGTCAAAGTCTGAGTTGATTCGAATGGGATACATATCGCATATTGAGAATTTTGGCTTGCTTCCATTCTTGGTTGTAAAATAACTGATTTTCCAGTAACATATCATCTTCATTTACCTTTGAGATCGTCGTTTGAGGCCAAGGCAGGTTAGGATAGGGTTGTGGAGCGATTTCAGAGGAGACTTAGAACCCTGAAATCAACATATCAATTGAAAGTAACATTTGAGTTAATGAAATAAATTTTGTTTAATGGGCTATTATGAGAGAAATATTTTGACAGAACAAAACTGATGTTAAGTTTCTTGCTAAATTAATACTTAGATTTTAAGGAGTCTAAATGCTCTTATATCTATTTTACTTTTCTTTCTTCTTGGCAGATTCTTCATATCAGTAAGGCATCAGTGAATTTCGTAATATAATAGGATCCGTTGGAAAGTCAACAAAAGGGACTTCGCTGGAAAACTCCTACTTAAGCATGAGTTAGACTTCTTGGCCAGGGTCTCACCTATTAGGGCAGGGTCGGTTCAGGGTCCCTGATTATATTTGACCAATTTGCCATCCACAGACAATATTGCAGCTACAAAACTCATACTTAAGTGATATCAAAGGATCTGGATGGCTTGAAATAGAAGGCATTGCCATAAATAGCTTGTATTTTAACTGTCATTCTTGTCACCAGAAAACTGTCTAATACAGAAGGTGGCCAAAGGCATGCATGAAACAATCCTCGCATAAATTATCCATACACTATCACACTTGATTCTTTTCTTCCCTGCATTCAATAATGGTTAACTGCAACTGGCTACAGTGGTAAGCACAACAACAAAGTGGAAAACAGGGAAAAAGCAATGTTGATTAGAACACCTCTATATTTTTCAACTTTGTAGTGAAAATAGGAGGTCATTTTATCGATTTAACTTAAACCAAAACAGCTTAGATAGCACTGTTAACTTCCTATTTGGTTCACCCAGGTGACCATGGGCAAGAATGGCTACAGTTGTGCTGAGTACAGCGAATTGACAAACGACTCAGTTCAGCTAACAGTTTATCTCCCAAAAAAATGAGGAACTCATAAAACTAAAAGCACTACATTGCAGCCCAAAGATGTGCCAAGCTCTATATAAAATCTCTGTAACCATTTGTCTCTTTGTTACGTGAGGTGATCATTCCATAGCAACCTTATTAAAATTCCATATCACAATTTGTCCTATGTCAGCCTTCTGTAGCCTAATTGGTTCCACTTCAGGGAAATGACTCTACAACCCATGCGAGATTAGTATTAAGTACTAAAGCTGTCTAATTGATTCCATTACAATGCCTGACAACTTCTGTTCCTCAAAATTTTGACTCTGCATAACTTGAACAGCCAAAACTTTCTTAAATTACCCAAACCACATCAAAATGCACTACTAATCAATATGGAAAATACCCATATGATATAATAGAGAAAGAAAAAGAACAAAAACACATACCATTTGATGAGCCAGCCAAACAGGAAATGCTGCATGATAGGAACCTTCTCCAACACTTCCGCTTTGTACATCTTAAGCATACCACCATTCACCTTGTTCCAATTGGGCACGCCGCTGATATCATCCAACATCGGCGAATGCTCCGCAAACACACCCTTCTTCACCTTCTTCACAAACGCAATGCACGAAAGATAAAGGTACTCATTCGAGAAATTGTCGAGTATGTCATCATTATGAATCGACTTAGGTTTCATATACTTATGATCAATCAACTGCGCTGACCCGAAAATAAACGGCAAGAAGTGATAATCATCCAAACCCCAAACACCATGAGACCCCGCAGGCTCAAGGCAATAAACCAACTGCAATTTCCTCATCAATTCAAGGTATTTCACAAAAACCCTAGCAACAACAGCTTGATAATCCTCTTCCTTGATCAACCCTAACAAAGCGAGACAATACAACCAGGCAGCGAAATTGGTTTCGTGGCCAGTACCATAATCGATCCGGCTGGAATTCCCAAAACTATCGGTGAAGTAAGGGACGATCTCGATAGTAGCAGATTGAAGATCCTGGGGAAGAAAACCAAGCATGAAGGATTCAGCGTTTTCCGTCATACGAGAATGCCAAGTTCGATAGGAGTAGTTTCCGTAGCGAGATGATTGAGCGAGGGGGGGGATATCATCGACGAAGAGGATTAGGGTTTGGAGGATAGAGACGATGGAGGAGATGGTGGGGGAGAGGTGGCAGGGGTCGGAGATCTTGCGGCGGCGGATGGAGTGGCTGAGGGCAGCGATGAAGCCGAGGAAGTGTTTGCCGGAATGGGAGTCGTGGAAGTGGCGGAGGTCGGAAGGGGAGAGGATGCGCTTGGTGGGGATTTGGAAATGGTAGGGAGGAGGAGAGAGAGTGGGGACTTGGAGGGGTTGAGGGACGGGGGCCAGGATGATGGATTGTTGGGGGGTGTGGTTCGGAGGGAGGTTGAGGGCCGGGGCGCGGATGGGGAGGTAGGAGGGAGGAGGGGAGGAGTCGGACCAGGAGGGTGGTGGGGAGTAGCTGGTGGGACTGCCGCAGTTGATGCAGCAGGTGGTGGTGGTGGTGGTGGTGGGAGGATTTGGTGGGGATTTTGGAGAGGAGGTATGTTCGTCGGATGGAGGATGGGAATCCATTAGAATTGTTGGGTTTCGGGGAAGGGCGTGAATGAAGTGAAGATCAGTGGTTAATTTAGGAGGATTGTATGAAATGCAAATTAGAATGCTTCAAGAGTCCTCTTCTTTTGTACAGATTATCATCACTCTGACCATTTTTTCATTTATTTTATGATTCTTTCTAGTATCATTCTAAATAAAATGATTAAATTTTACTTTTTTTTATTAGAAGATTGGCCATTCAAGATCAATCTTTTAATTTTAGGGGAATTTTGATCCGGTTTGGTTTGGTTTCGGATAAAATCAACATCAATCAATTCTTTATGATTTTATAAAAGTTCGAATTAAATCAATCCATTTAACTTAGGAAATTAATTAGAAGTAAATCATTTAAACACAGTTTGACTCGATTTGAAATCATAATTTTATATAATTTATTCGCTAGAAAAATTATATAACATTTATAATAAAAAAAAACGTATCATAGATTTTAAAAATAATAACAACATGATCACCAATAAAAATAGAGCATTAAGTAAATATTGTTCAACATTAATCTATGATTTTTATTATCACTATGAATTAGGGTTTGATTTTATATATAAGAGGATAAGATTGTATGCATCTAAGTGTATGATATGTATATGATTGAAGTTACATACAGTCCGGTTCAATTCTAATCTGAAATTGTGAACTTAAATCCGATTCCGACTCATGAAGACCAATTTTCTAATTTTTTGAACCAAAACTAAACCACAAATTCAGAAAACCAAATCAAACCTACCGGATTGGATTGGACCAATTCGATTTGCAGATTTTTCAATTTCTTTACACAGCTCTATCTAACTGCGTCACATGAGACAAACCACGTCATTGAGAGTGAAATTAAAAAGTAAAATTAAGAGGTGTAACACCGCTCATCATTAAATGTATACTTTTTTGACCATTTTTTTAAAGCAATAAATACATCCTTCATGATAAAGGAAATAATAAAATAAAAAAAATTTACAAAAAAAAAAACTCAACACCTTTATAACAAAATAAATTTTAAAGTTTTAATTTTATTAATTTAAATATTAAATATTTAAATTTTTTTAGTCTAGACAATTTATTTATTTTTATTAAGTAAAAGCGATCGAAAAAAATATTTTAGTTATTAAATTCAATAAAAAAAATATTTTAAACATTTTATATACATTTACATTATTATTAATGATTAAAATACTCGTTATTCGTGAGTTTTACTCAACGAAAATATGCTAATAATTTATATTGAAAATAAATCAAAAATTTTAAATTTTAAATTTAGAACTTATTTTGTTACAATGATCAAATTATGATTTTTTTTTTATACTATATTTTTTCCTAATAAAAAAAGAAGAAAGAAAGAAACACAACACTTTTATTTTTTAGATTTATTTTTTTAATTACATTATTATTCAAAACTTATAATTATTATTTTACCTCATTATACATCTATAATTTCAAAATATCTTCATTTTTATTTTTTTTCAAACTCTAATTCCACACCTCCAACCACCGCCTACATCCATCACCTCCAACCATCATCCCCACAACCCCCATCTTGAAAATAATTTATCACTTTAACAAATTCTTAGCCATTTCACATTCAACGAAAATATGCTAATAATTTATATTGAAAATAAATCAAAAATTTTAAATTTTAAATTTAGAACTTATTTTGTTACAATGATCAAATTATGATTTTTTTTTTATACTATATTTTTTCCTAATAAAAAAAGAAGAAAGAAAGAAACACAACACTTTTATTTTTTAGATTTATTTTTTTAATTACATTATTATTCAAAACTTATAATTATTATTTTACCTCATTATACATCTATAATTTCAAAATATCTTCATTTTTATTTTTTTCATACTCTAATTCCACACCTCCAACCACCGCCTACATCCATCACCTCCGACCATCATCCCCACAACCCCCATCTTGAAAATAATTGATCACTTTAACAAATTCTTAGCCATTTCACATTTCATGTTCAAATTGACATTCGAAGTTGGAAATGCTCATAGATTTCTATACTTTGAACAACAGATCGCCTAATTGAAAACTGTTAATGGTGAAATCCCCATCCACCATTGGTGCTGCCACAGAAAGACAGTTGAGTCACGGCAACATAGACACAAATATTTTGGAAAAAGTCTAAGAACACAAAAATCGATCCTAAAACCAGACACAAACTCTAAAACGAAATGCGTCATATACCCATATAAGAAAGCTACGTCCGATTTTGTGATTCATTTTGTGCAAGGAGAAGAATATCTCTCCAAGCACTGCATACATAAATAACATAACAAAACAAAAAAGGCAATTCAAAATTCAATTGTTCTAGCTTGAGCACATTTCTTCTAGGGGAGGGCAAAACTAAGATTATGTATTTTGGCATAGTTTGGGAAGTTGGTTTTGGTGGGTTAGGGGTTAAAATAGCCACAAAAAACAAAATAGGCTATTTTAGCCACAAAAACAAAACATCAAATCTAACCCATAATCATTACACTCCTCTCTCACAAAAAAAGTCAAAAAGCCCTTCCCAAACCAGGCTTTTTAGCCCCAGGCTAAAATAACCAAAAAACCAAAAAACTAAAAAGCCAACCCATTTCCCAAACGGAGGCTTTGTGGTTTCAAAAACTAGTTTAACACAAGGTTTCCAGATTCAATCTCAAGTAGTGATTTTACAACAAGACCATAAATGCTATGGTGTTGGAGCCAATTGTTTCAATCCAGCTTGTAAGATGACTCCAACTTCATCTGCTATGCTCTTCTTCTTAGTTGCAACCTGCATTTGGATTCTATGTTAATTATCAATCGAAAACAGCATACCGATAAACAAATGCAGAAGTATGACCACTCAGCAAATCCCTTAATCTGGAAGTCCATTGCTGGCTTAATTTTAGAGGATCCCAACGCATGTAAAACGGCATGTTTAGGGTCTATTTAGTGCAACTTCAAGCAAGTTGAAATTTGCTAATAAAGAAGTATAAACTAAAAACACTTACCCCCTTACTTTCCGATAATCAAAAATTTTAATTTATTTAAGTTATTTTTGTCTCAAAATTTGTACGGGAAGTGCACCAAATACATTGACACATATTTTAAAAATAAATAAATAACTATAAGCAATTTTATACGCTGATCAAATAACCGCCTAGTGCAACTTGTCTCAAAAGTTGATAATCAAAAAATAATCTAAAAATATTTCTCTCTTAACTTCCAGATAATCAATTTATTTAAGTTATTTTTTCCACATAAACTATAAGCAAAAACTGTACCAAACACAATCTCAAAATAAAAAAGTTATAAGGCCTCGTTTGAAAGCATGCTATTTTAGTAATTTTTTAACTTTTTGACTAAAATATGAGATAAAAAAAACTAGTATGTTTGTGATGACTTTTTTGATTTTTTATGAAAAGATGTGCAAAAAATGTAGAGAAAAGGAAATATTTGACTTTTTAGTATAGATTGTTGACTTTTTGATTTTTTTAGTGACTTTTTGACTTTTAAACTAAAAAGTGATGTAGTTAAACGAGACCTCAGTAGCTCAATAAGTTACAAATGACTTGGCTCCCCTACAATAACATTTCTTCTTGTGGGATTTCAATAGAAATTTAAACCTCAAGATCTCAAATCAAATCAATAAAAGAAAACGATAATAGTTGCATACCTGAAGCAATTAATGGAGATAATCTAAGCGGTAGATTTCTTAATGGTTATCGTCTTTCGCTCCAGAATCCTACTTTTGCTTGCTTTCACACACTGATGAAAAAATATGAGATGGAGGCTAGGGTTGGAGTGGGTACCGTTACCACATATTTATAATGCCCCAATTTCATATTAACTCATCATAAATAATAGAATTACAAGTAGACCTAAACTGGTCTTTACACATATGATTTAGCCCATACTCCTTTAGTACATATAGCATGACCAAATTATGTGCTATTAGAGATGTGTCCATAACCCGGCCATATTTTCTGAAGGGATCACAATTTAATAGGTCTACTGACACCACTCATCTATCTTCTATATATTATATAAATAAAAAGGAATTTTTAAGCCTCCAAGGCCTCCACATGCCCAATCTCAATTTCTTATTTTTCCAATTTTAAAAAAATAATAAACTATTCATATGTCTCACACAATTTTTGAATTAAAATAAATAAATAAATAAATAAATCCTTAAGCCCACCTCTTAAGATCATTGCTTAAAAGATCATCATTTCATAAAATCAAATATAGAAACACGGTTTGTTAACCTTCCAATTTATTTGTCTATCTTCTAAAATCTCTACCTAAAATCTTTCACTCCTTAAAATAAATTAAACAAAAATCAATTCAAATTGTTTTGTTTGATTGATTTTGTTTTCTTATAATTAATTTACAAAACTGATTTGTTTAATTTTGTTTAAAAATATTATAAAAATATTTACAATTGTCTAGATTAAAGTAGAATTACAGCCATAATTACAACACTATAAAAAAAATTACATTTTTTTATCGGTGAAAGTTAGTTGTTAGTTATTAGAATAATACATATGAGAGTTAACCTCCCCACACTTTGCAAAGCACCACGTGCTTACCCTCTTAATTCAACTCAATCCATGATCTCCCCATAAAAACATTACATATAATCTATTTTTGCAAAGCTATTACATATGCATAAATATGTACATTTTATTTTTTAAAAAAATTATTAATGATGTATGTTTGCCAATTTAAAAAATATTTACATAAACAAATTGATCAAGTGACTCTTCAATTTATATTGATTGACATAAATCTAACGAAGCTTAGGTACCTCGATCATATCATAAAAATTTTAAAATTTTAAAAATACTCTAACATTTTGCTGTCAACTTAAATTTATTATACTCTATCAATTGGCAAACCAAATTTTACTAATATGAGAATATTTTTCTTAATGTATTTGCCGAAATAAATATAAATATTTCATTTTAATTTTTTTTGCCACATCACCTTAAAAGTAAAGAGATATTAAAGATGAGCAGGAGAGAAGAAGAGAGAAACAAAAATATAAGATTGTTATATCACTTGACAAACAATGGTATGATAAATTATAATTACGAATTTTGTTG